TGTGGACATGCAAATTCAAGAGTTTGGGGATCGATTTAGTGAGGTAAGTACTGAATTGCTTAAAATATAGCAGCTTTGAGTCCATGCGATTCATTTTCGCAATTCAGTGTATCAGATTTATTGAAGTTGAGTGAGTTGTATCCTCAAGATTTTAGTCATATRGAAARGATCGCTCTTGAGAAACAACTTAACATGTACTATTTGATTGTGCGTCAAGATGAAATATTTGCCAATCTGAGTGGTATTGCCGAACTCTCTAGACTGCTAGTGGAAACAAAAAAGCATCAAACTTATCCTCTAGTATATCGGTTATTGAAGTTGGCTTTGGTTTTGCCAGTTGCTACTGCAACAGTCGAAAGATGTTTTTCTGCTATGAAGATTGTGAAGTCAGATTTGCGCAACAAAATCGGTGATGAATTTTTGAATGCTGCAATGATATGTACTATAGAAAAAGAAGCACTTCTCGCAGTTTCAAATGATGATGTAATTACGCAATTTCAAAAGATGAAGAGTCGTAGGGCACAGTTGTAAGAGGTCACTTTTTATCATTTTTGTATGAAATTGAAGTTAATTATTATTTTATTTTATAACGTGCCCCTACAATATATTTTTCTGCGTCCGCCACAGTCTGAAACCAAGGGGTTAAATGCTAATTTATGAAACTTAAATATATAATGCATATTAATAATATCGGTGAACAAATAGTAATAAACATCTTGGTTAGCGTACTGGTTAAGGCGTTGGTTAGCATTGTGGAGGTCTTGGGTTTGAGCCCAGCCTTCGGCACCATCAATTTCTTATTTTTCACGCGAGCCAGATCTGTTCAACCAGGTCGGACCAGCAACCGTGGTTGCACTAATTTCAGAATTTTAAGCTCAATAATGGTTCATTTCTTGATATTTTTTTCTTCGTTCTTTCTACACCAAAACTTTGGTAATATTTTATCAACATTTTGACATAAAGAACATATATTTTCGTTAAGAAATAAGTTTCATTTTCTCATTTAAAGTTTTGCTTTTATAACTAAAACTCAACAACTTTAAAAACATAAAATCAAACCATCTAAAACCAAATCTGAGATATGAGGCTAATAGGGTATGATAAAGTACTTAAAAACGAAGCCATAAACATAAAAACCATGAGATTTGGTTAATAATCTCACCCAAAATCGGTGAAAACCTGAGATTTTCAGCTCGAACTTCAAACTCAGATTCCTCTCTCAATATTTGCTTATTTTCCAAACTATTTGAACGAAAATGATCCTAAGCAGTGCTCTACATTTATATGCGAGAGTTTTGGCTTATTAGTTGATGAAATCGGATAAATCGCGAGTTTTTGGCCGTGGGGTCGTTTTCTTCAAACATACATTGTTGTTGGCAAAAAAGGTCCCTTATCTTTGAAAAAGATGACATTCGGCCCCTGAACTTTCTGACATTTACAACCGGCCCCTTGCTCTCATTATTTTAATAAGACTTACACTTTTTACCCCTAAATCAACATTCTATTTCAATTTTGGTCATTTCTGATTTTAAGATTTCTATAATTATTTCCTTTAATTAACCACATAAATATTTTAACACTTCAAATAAATTTAATAATTTTTTTAGAGACTCGTATAATATTATTTTTATATATTTAAAATTTTAGGTTTTACATATAATGTTCTCTTAATTTTAAGTCTATGCAAACGAAATCATTATTCTTGATACGTGAAGATGTGTTTTAGGTGCTTCATTTTATTTTCTCTGATACCCATCTATTATTTTCACTTTTAAAACAAACATAAGATTAATAAATCGGAAAAGAAAAATACAGATTGGTAAAACTAAAACCAAATGAAGCCAAATAAATGGACCATAATGTCAAACTCGATTGTAGGAGGGCTCAAAAGTGCCGACAGAGTGTTAACGAGATCACACTCTTGCACTTCGTCTACAGTAGGCTTTTCATTCTCCTACACTCCTAACTGGCTTCTTGATGTTTTAAACTCTACATGTAATTCCTTAAAGCATTAGGGGCTGTTTGTTTGGCTCTTAATGGTTACATTAAGAGCCAACCTCTTAATTGGTAAGAGGTCAAGGTTGTTTGGCAAAAAAAAAATGGCTCTGAATGGTTACATTTCTCCTCTTAACCATTTTGCATCTAAAGGTTCTCTAAACCATTCAAAGTTCTCTTTTTCCATATTTGCCCTCTCCCCCATCGTTCCTCACACAGCCCTCACAGCCCCTCCCCCCATCCTATGATCGCCGGTCTTCAAATCCCTCCCCCCACACACGATCGTCGTCCGTATCAACAATGAATATCAACGAATCACGTTTCCTCGATCGAAACGTCAGCGTCGGCGTAAAACGGAAGCTCAAGTACTTTGGCAAAGATGTGCGGAAGTCGCCGGAGCTTCTTTTGATGGCAGATAGTAGCAGCGGCGTTGGACTGTGAACCAAAATCGTACCGGACGGTGATGTTCCGCTTATTTGGCGCAGGATGAACCTTCATAGTTGTTGGAATCAGAGAAAAAAAGGAAACCCTAGCTACGGAGACAGATTTTGYGTTACAGATCCCAAAAAATGGATCAGAAGGGAAGATGAGTGATGGTGAGCTATACGTATAGATATGGTGATGAAAGTGAGAGTGGAGGTGGAAATTATG